AATAATAATAATAATAATAATATTAATAATAATATTAATAATATTAATAATAATAAATTCGAAATGATAAAACCTTCGATTTATTTGACGACCCTTGAGGATTCGAGTACAAATGTTGATGCCATAACGGAATTCTTAAACCAAGTTACGCGAGCTCATAAGGAACATCAGAAAAAGATGCAAGTACGTTCTAGGTATGAACGAACTGAAACGTATTGGGCTCCCGTGCAAATTTTATCTTCAAATAGAGGTTTGGATACCGTTGCATTAGATGAACCGCATGAATTATTACTAAGAAAAGAATTAGAAACGTTCGTACACGATAAAAGTTTCTACGAAAGAATTGGTATGCCTTATCGACGTGGTATCCTATTATATGGAAAACCAGGAACGGGAAAAACCAGCTTGATAAATGCTATCTCTTCACAATTATCTCGTGATATTTATTACTTAAATCTCAAAAACTTTAAAAGTGATAATGAATTAAATTCCGCAATTTGCGAGATTCCCGGCAATAAAATCATTGTGCTTGAAGATGTTGACACACAATCAAAAGTTATTCATAAACGAACTGGAAAACGGTTCCCATCCAAAAGAACCAATATATCTTCCGATAAAAAAGAAAATAAGGGTGAAGGCGTGGGTCCAAAATTGGATAATAGTTCAAAATTTAGTTTATCAACTTTCTTGGGATTTTTGGATGGTCATACCTTGTCCGAAGGGAATATTATCATCATGACGACAAATCACTTGGAACATCTTGATCCTGCTTGTATTCGTCCTGGTCGTATGGACGTGCAACTTAACCTTGGTTATTGTACTCATTATCAAATCAAAAATATGTATAAAAGTGTGGTCGAAAGTCCCAAAGCTGAATTCCCTCAAGATATTCTTGAAAAAATTCCGGAACGTTTGTTGCCACCTTGTGAAGTTATGATGACTATGGTTTTATATCGTAATGAAATTGATCTCATTCCACAAAAGGTTCATGAGTTGGTCGCAAAATACATTAACACGAAACCTGACGATGTTTCCGATGATAGTGGAAGTACTGAAATATATTCCGATGATAGTGGAAGTACTGAAGATGATAGTGAAAGTACTGATGTATGACCCGATTATATGATAATAAAACTTTGAAAATTTCTTTGCTGCAGCATCATAATCCTTCATTGTTTTAGACTAGTTAACTAACTTTGAATTTTGAATTTAACTAAGTTTGATTATTTTTATCATAATTTTTTTCTAAATTATATTAGTTATTTTTCATTTTTGATATTATTACAATTTTTCTTAAGTACAGTAATAGGGTTTCCGTTTGAAAATAGTATATTCAAATATTCGTTTGTAAATAAATAAAATTCAAATATTCGAAAATATATAATTAATATTTGAATATCGAAATGATTCGGATATCGAAATTGATTTCGAATATCGTCAATTCGATCGATCTTATCGATCGATTTTTATTTTTTTCGTCCTTCATTCTTTTTTTTTGTATTTTGGTTTTTTTCGATATATTTTCTTCGATCAATTCATTTTTTTTATTTAATTTATTTATTTTTTTATAATTTTTTCTTTTTATTTTTTTTTTATATATTTTTTTTCGAAATGATTTTCGATATTTGAAATTAATTTCGATATCCCAAATCATTTCGATATTCGTTTGAAATTATTTTAAAAAACTTTCAAATATTTGATATGAAATTTGTATTTCAAACGGAAACCCTATATACAGTAATATAATTAATTTTAATAGAATAGATAAAAAAAACTTTTTTTCCTAATTCGACCTAGATTATCAAAAACATGTCACAAAAGGTTATTAGGTAATTCCGGAGTTTGATCAATCCTATATATATATATCATTGATCATCAATATAAGAATCACTTAAAACAAGAGCTGGCTTTTTGTTTTTTATTTTTCTTTTTTTTCAAAATTTCAGTTTTGTTCATTTTTTTCTTTCCCATTTTCTTTTTAAAAAAAAAATTATATACAATAAAAGAAATATATCATTTTTATTACTATTATTATTACATTATCAAGATTGAATTTTTAAAATGTCAAATAACCCGTTTTTAACAGAGGAAGATAAGTATCTCGAACAAGGTTCATCGATCGCTGCGCCACCACCAGCCTACGAAGATGTTGTAAGACCAGGCTATAGCGATCACCCGTATGGTTATCCACCAAATAATCAATCATTTCCTCCTCCTTCATTTCCGCCACCGACAGTGCCAAATTATAATCATAATCCATTAGTTTCTACGGAAAATCATCAACCAAATTCCGCGAATCCTAATGAAAAATCTGGTACGAAACCAATTCATAAAATTATTACACTTTTATACCGCGATGAACTAATTAAAAGGTCAATTAGGATATCGAGTATGCTGTATCAAATTTTCAAGTCGGAATAAAGCTTGCTGTTACGGTTGGTTGGTCTTGATTACATTCATAATTTTAGGGGTAAATATAATATGATTATGTGTATATATATATATTTATCTATTTATTCGTTTTTGTTTGTTTATAAAATTTCAATTTTTACATATCAACATCTTGTCTTTAGACGATTTCGGTAGCAAATAGCAAAGCATGTAGTCAAATACAATTAAATGAAAATCCGGAAAAATTCACCTTTGATCCAAAATTAATACTCAAACTCGATGTGGAAGGTTCTCAACATAAGGTATTCATTTATTTATATTTAGTAGGTTTATTTTATTTTATGTGGATTAAATTATTAATTTGAATTGTTTTCTTTTTAGGTAGATGCAGTTAATGTTTTACAAAATCCATCACCAGATGAAACCAATGTTAATGTTGAAGTGTTTACTGGAAGTAGCAGTAGAGTGACTCCTCAATTTGAAAAAAAAATTCAAAACGATAGTTTTGTATTAAGAGTTTTCCAAAAAGTTGGGTTTGGCGTTTTTAACATTCCACCACGTTGTATGCGATTGAAAATAAATGTAATCCTACCACAAGGAAATGCTGGCAACCCAACTTTTAATAATATTCAAGTCAAGGAACTGAACCTTAAACTTATTAAAGATGAAAGTGATAAACCATATCAACAAAGCATCGGTTTATCTACTGTCGAAGGGGATATACAATTAGAGGAAATTAAAGGAAATATCATCGACATTAAAACTCAGGAAGGAAATGTTGGAGGATCAATATTATCTCTTTCAAAAGAACTTAGTGTTTCGACTGATGATGGTAATGTGGACTTATATTTGGGAATTGCTCCAAATGCAATGGTCATGTTACAAACTGATAACGGAAACGTTGGATTAACAATGGTAAATAAAGCATAAAAATTAAATGAAAATATTTTCTTTTTTATTAATTTATTAACCGTATTTTTTTCTATTTCAACAATAGGTTGAAAGCTCATTCGCTTATAAAGTTCGGACAAACGATGGTAACATTAGAATAAATGATGAAATGATAAATGGATTATCTAAAAATGGTATGGCGGGTGATGGAAAGTCAATTGTGAATATTATAACTGATGAAGGAAACATTAGGTTAAACTATTGATGAGAGATTTGGAACTTTACGTCTTGTACATTTTTGTTTTACATCAACAGGGTTTTTATTATTAAATATAGTATATCTCATATTGTATAATTATTAGTGACGTGTAAAAATATAAATAAATAAATTAAATGCTTTCCACATTATTATTACGTACAAATGGTTTTAATTAATTCAGTATGTCTATTAAAGAGAAAAAATATCTATCATCTCAAAAATTAAACATTAATAAATTAAGTTAAATAATAAATATAACAAATTCTGAATATTTCAACAACACAAGGCGAGATCTCAACTTTTTTTCACTAAATTAAATTAAATTGGTTTTGTTAAAGTCAACAACATTAATTAGTACACTCGGAAATCACTTGCTTAAGCACTAAATCATCGGCAGTAGTGAATAAAGTTCCAGGATACACTTTACTTCCCCATTTAGGATGCAATAAAATATGACAACATCCTGCATTATGGAGGTCATATTTTAATAGTTCTACGGCTCCTTGAACGTCCGGATAAATTGCTGGTCCGGGATCAGAGAAAATCTTTAACCAAATCACGTCTTTTTGTTAAAACATATTTAAGCTCGGTTTAAAAAATAGAAAAAAAAAGATAATTACCGGGTATCCAGAACAAGGATCCGTTAGGTCGGCCCAATACCCACGATTTCTCAATTTATGACAAATCTCTTTTCCCCATTCAACAAACTACAAATTTGATAATTATTTTTTTTTTAAAAAAATATAATATATGTATATATAATACACAACACATCAAAAATAAAATTTTCTTTTTTATCACTTACAACTTCAAGCTTTTCATCTTTTTC